TCCAAAAGCATCTTGGTGCTCAACTTCTGCAGAGAGCCAATCAGAACCCGACCAGAATCGAACCAAGGCTGGTGAGTCCCTCATATAAAATTTTGCCGCAGCTACTGTGCAGTACATATACACACTGTATATTGCTGCGTTCATGCATGCTCATCTGCTCACACAGACTCATGTTCATGCTGATGTTCGACGTAATGTTTTTATGCTATTAGTGCTTAGTGTATTATTTAGTTGATGTTTTTCTTAGTTCATATCTTAGATCTTATTACTGTTTTTCTTTTACATTTTATTGTTGGTTGTAACTGGGACTCTGACTCTCTGACTCTGATATACGTATGTTGTTAAAATGACGTGGGTTTAAGGGTTTAGAAGACTGGTTTTGGGCTTCGCTGATGCAGGTTAGTTCTGCAGAAACAAACTGGGTCTGACCAGAACCGAGAGTCTAGCTCGTGCAGCTTGTCTGCAGAGCTACTACCAGTAATTATAATTTAGTAGCTATATATACACTATGTTGTTAAAATGATGTAGATCTAAGAGTTTAGAACATTGCAAGAGTGTGGGAAGGGTTAATAAAGCCTTAACATATATATAAACATTAAAATAAATAGTGTCCCTACCTCACATTTTTCACAGGGGTTGGGGCTTGAACCTAACCCCTGCGATAAATGAGGGACCTTTGTAAAGGTTTATAAAGCAGCTTCAGTTTTGAGGTTGGAGCTGTATTTAAGATGGCAGCAGTCCACTTTGTTCTCGACTCCACTCATACCAGCTGTTAGCTCTCACTCCAGTCAGAATTCAACTTTATCTTTCCAAACTGAGGTCCTTCAAAGAGCTAACTGATTATAACCTTTCCCCATAAACTTGCTTCAAAAGGTCAAAACTTTTGCTCGAGCATACTGTATCTGGGAATGTTAAAGTAATTTAAAGCTTTATAGAAGGTTGGTGCCCGGGCACATCCTGTGACTCATTGCTCTGTTTGAGTAATTGTTGAATTTTTTGTTCCAACTCTTCAGAATGTGCTGCAGATTTGAAATGCTGAAATGAATATTGATTGCTAAATTAGCAAGAGTTCATACTGTCTGCAATAATAATAATAATAATAAAAAAACATTTTTACAGAATCCCACATTTTTTTTCATATAGTGCAAAGTGAAATGTGGTTTCTTATTAAAAAGGTGCTATAATGAATGTGTGCTTCACCTGCACTCCCTTAAAACGGCACAGAAATACGTTCAAAACCTCAGAACGTATTTGTTTTAATGGAACTGAGCTGCTTGATTCCTCATTGCACCAATAAAGACAGAGACCTGGAAGGCAAAGGAATGAGATAGAAAGCGTGGGCGAAGATGCTCCTTGGTCTGCATTAAGCTCTTTTGTCAGCCAACACTGAACTAAAAATGGCTCCACGCAGCCAAGATTAGCTCCACAAAGGTGAAACTCCTCGTGGCGGCGGGTGAGTCATGGTTATGTTTGTATCCGTGCAGATATCTAACACCATCATTAGAAATCTTACATGAACGTGTGTCTCCACTGATTCTCTCTCTCTCTCACTTGGAGACGTAGGAAGTGAAATGATGATTAACTTTCACCATAAATCTGCAAACTCATCCATTCTCATGTGAGTATTGAGAGGTTAATAAAAGCTAAATGACAAAAAAAAAAGTAATAAAAAAATGTATAAAAATGTGCACCTCTAAATATAAGGCCTTGAACTTTCATAATGTTAATTTAGCTGTTTTTGAATTAACTTTAATTGCCGCCTAATGCTTTAACAAATTTGCTAACAGAGCTGCCATCATGCATCACTGCTCCTGATGCAGATCTGTTTTTATCTTTTATCTCCACACTCTTAAAGTAAACATTTAAATCCCTTCTTTCTAACAAAAACCTTTAAAAAAAAAAAAGAAAGCCTTTATGATGCTTCCAGTGAATTTACGCAAATAAAATGAGGAAAATGTCTTTCCCCTTTCTCGCATCAGTACCATTCAAAGAGTAAACAACACCTCTTTTGTATTCTTCCAGCTTCAGCATCTAATATGTAATTTTCTCTGAATAAACTAATGCAAGACTACAATGTAAAAGAAATGTATCTGTCAGGCTGATCCACTACATATTTACCTGCTACCATTTTTTTCTGCACTCTTAACCCAAAGCCCTTTTACATCAAAGTAATTACAGCAAATTATACATCATTTTCTGCAATGAATAATGTATTCTTTTGATATTTAACAATGACACACTGAACGGTCATTTGCTGAACATTACATTTCATATGGTGCATTATATTATAAAGTTGTGTTTTTACTTTCTTGGAGAAAGATATTAATACTTCAGAAATGTGGCAACGTGTTAAAGAAACAGTTCAGATTATGTGAAGTGGGGTTTTGTGAAAAGATTATAAACAGACAGTATCTCACCTGCTGTAGATATGTTTATAAAACGTTGTATGAGCAGTTCATGAGATTGGAGTTGTTTTAGGACGGTAACAATCCACTTTGGTTTTGGCCCCAGTCGGACTAGTCGTTGGCACATTAATTCTATCATAAACAAACTATTTCTCCAAACTGAGGTGTTTAAATAACTATCTACAACTGATAGAATATTAATTGGCACAACCCTTCCAGAATACCCCACTTCAAAAGTTTTTAATCGTTGCTTAATGCCCTTAAAAGGTATTCATTACAAATTATGAAATCAAACATGGAACAGATTATCCTGAACTGTATCAAACCGTGCAGTTTGAAAGACTTTACTCCAGTAATTTTCCAAATATACTGATTCACAGTTATGAAACGTGGGTATGCACTCAGTGTAAACAAAGCATTCAGCTAAATCTGCTGAAGACCAAGTGAATGCTTGAGTCATGTGATTGACATACATTAGGCCGGCTGAAGTCTGTGTAGGTAAACAATAAATAGTTTGGACTCAAACAAGCGTAGATTCTTAAAGAAGATGTTTAGTTTGAAATAGAGTGACTTTGCCGGTTTAAGTTAAAGATAAAGAACAGGTGAAACAACTGTCGAGAATAAATAGTGGGGATCAAGCAGAGCGGCTGAGTGCCGTAAAGACAGAGCTTGGTATTCAAACATGTGCCTTAGCAAATTGTCTTGTAAACAGGTATGTGCACATCAAAGTTCATGCTCAATATGCCAGGTAAAAATTCCAACAATGTTAAGTCAGGTCATCTGGATGGTTTCTTTTTTTTTTTTTTTGGAGACGTTTCGTCCTTCATCCAAAGGACTTCTTCAGTACGAGGAGCCACAACAAACTCAGGATTACAGAGCATGAACTTTGATGTTTTGAACCACATTGGCTATGGCTGCCTCAGAGGAGTCAAGGGGGGAGAGGGCGGACTCCAGAAACCATCTTATCACCAGCAATCTGGTTGGTCCACTATGTGAGTGTGCTACTTATGAGACTGAGTTTGTGGCTTATTAGACTGATGAAGTTCTTTGGATGTTTTTATGCTTGGGGTGGCTGCATGTTCTGTTATATTCATTCTGATATTTTGCTTTTGAAAACTTTAATTCCTATTTTGCTGGATGCAAATCACATTTTTTGGATGAGTGTTTCCTCTGGTATCGGATGCTGTGCAGCTGGAAGGATTTTTACTGAAACTTTTTGGGTTTTGGACATTTGTTATGATGCGTAACCATGGCAACAAGGTGTTGATGAACAACCGGGAGCAGCTGATTAACATCTCAAAAGCTCAAATAATATCTCAACTACAGCCCCAAATCTCAAATGAGTTGAAAAGGAGGTGCCGTAGATGCAATCCCGTCTCCTTGCCAGCTGTGTTCGAGTGCCTGACCACTGAGATCCTGGAACTAGCAGGAAACACGGCTTGTGACAGCAGAAGGACAGGATCGTCCCCTGGCACCTGCAGCTGGCTGTCTGCAGCAACGAGGAGCTCAGCAGGTTGTTAGGGGGGAGTGTCCATCACTCTGGGAGGAGTTCAACCTGGCATTCGGGCGGTCCTGCATCCAAGGGGAACCAAGAGGCCTGCTGAGTCTGGGTGGACGGATCAGACGGCATCTGTGGCCAGTTTCTTCATATCCACTCTGGGATGGACCTTTACAAGAGATCCTTCCTGCCTACAGCCATCAGTATCTATAACATCTCTTAATGAAACGAGGATAATGAGTTACAACAACAATTTAATTTCCCTTTGAAATTAATAATGTATTTTTGAATTGAATTGAATTGGATGAAGGTTGAAACGTTTCAACACAAATAAACCATCCAGATGACCTGACAACTTTGTTGGAGGTAAGTTTACAGTTTCAATCTAACCTATCTTTAAATCTCATATGTTACTCAACAAATCTGAGCATAAATGCGAGCTAACACATTAAACTTCCTCATCTCACACTTCTATGGACCTTAACATGATGGACTTGTTTTCAGGCACTTTAGCTGTTTCAGTAGGTAAACAAACAGATGCAAGTAGGTTGCTTATAAATTCTGAATTTAAGGACACATTACTGCCATGAGATAAGTGCAGATTTGTGTCTTACTTGATGATGTTTATTGTTTTTTACAAATCTTCAATATTTTGCAATGAGTACCTTTAATCTGTTGCTGATATTTTTGTTGAAGTACTAGAAACGAAGTTCTGATTCTAATCAGCAGGTCTTTTTCAGAGAAATCCTGCAGCTACGAGGCTAGAATAACCTCTAAATACAAATTATCACTTTGCTTTTTGCTGTCAAAATCTCCCATTCTTTTTTTTAAAGATACATTTCTAGTCAGTTTATTTACGTACAGTTCTAAATACCATATATTATTCTAGAGCAGTGGTGTGAAACTATACAATGTTTGTTTAAAATAAGTTTTGTTGTGATTTTTCATCCTTCACTGAACAGATAGTATCGGCTGGACACACACTTGCACCCAAAGACTCAAAACATCCATGATGAGCATTTCACACATTCAGAAAAGCCTTTCACTCTCAACACACGTGCACACGCGCGTACACACCCACACAGAGAAATACTCACTTGTGCTGGAGAGTACGATGAGCGGTTGGAATCACAGGAGTTGTACGGTCCCATGTGCGCGCTGGTTACGGCATGTTGCAACCTCCTCACTCCTTCTCCTTTCTCCCCTCTGGAGCCTACTTTCTCCTTTCGCCCTGTCGGACCTCCGGGAACCGATCCGACAGGAAGCAGTCCTTTGTCCACCCCCCCACCCCCGCAACCGGGGGCGCCCATGCAACAGAGGGTGCCCTGGGCCAGCTCCAGCTCAATTTCTGCATCCATCTCCGCCTCCTCTTGGGCCTCCTTGTTGGAGTCGTCCAGGTGCTTCATCAGCACGGCCACCACCACATTGATGAGCACAAACTGGGCGGTGAGCACAAAGGAGACAAAGTACATGGGCGAAATAAACTGAAGGCTTGGATTGCAGGCATAGTCCACATCAGTGTTATGGTCTGGTGGGCACTCCCGCAATGTGTCCTGGAAAAGGCAGAAGATGAGAAGGGAGGTCAGGAAAATCAAAACTAAACTAAACTAAAACACATTTATGGTACTGCAATAGAAGAAGCTTCATGAAGAGAAAGGAAAATTGACGGGAGTTGTAGACTGAATGATGCAACGTATAACACTGAGCTTGTTTTATTATTTCTGTGTTTCCAGATATTGATTCAAACCTTAATGTGGGTTCAAAAAAACGTTCAATACAAAAACAACTGGACTTTATTTGTAACAGAAGACGTTTCGCTCCTCATCCGAGGAGCTTTCTCAATTCAAAGAGCAGTGAGTGACGGGTTCAGGTAATGTGGGTTAACAAAACACTTTTAGAACAAAAAACAAAAGCCACTGTCTCCAATTTTTTTTCATTATTTTTATCATGTGTATTTGAAAGATACTGTCACTTTAAATAACAGCTGTTGTAGAGTTTAATAGATGTGACTTGTGACCTGAGTGAATGATTCTCTGTTGATTGATGTCAGTCAGCTTGAAAAAATTACAAAAGATTCTTCCCTGAATTGCAGATTAATAGACTTGTTGTCTCATTTATCTATGAGCAGATTTGTGCTGGCTCTTAAAATAAGGAGTAAAGTTTGCTTTTTATCAATTTAATGAGGAGCATGACTTTTAGTCGCAAAAACTGAGAAAATTCCTGATTTTAAGGTACAGTCGGCTAACCTACTTCAGCTTGACTTTATGTGGTCTGCTGCTAAATGCTAATGTTAGCATAAGGAGTTGGTTTTTGTGGTTCGTATGAATTGTCGCTGTTTAAAAAACATATTTTGAGGCATCATAGTTGCACTGCAGCCCGGCAGTAAAAATATTTGTGCTGACTGTTTCATTCAAGATAAACCTTCTAGCACATTAATGCCATTTTGATGTTTGGAAAAGCATGACGTAATCCTCAGAAAGTCCTTAAACCTGCAACAATAAGTGTTCCAGAGGAAAAATTGACCAGCTATCATAAATGATTAAAATTACTTTTTGATTATTTATTTCTCCAAGTGTTTTCAAGAAACTCACTAAAACAATTATCTCAAAATGTTTTTAAAACATTAGAATATAATCAAAAAGTTCATTTTATTTGACAATCATTTTAGAAAGTGAAACTCAAATATTACATAGATTCATTACACAGAGTGAAATATTTCAAGCCATAATTCAGGCCATTATAATACAAATTGTATGATATTAAAAACATGGGATCAAAAAACGCATTTATATAGTGATTTCAATAGGGTGTTTCCCCTGAGGAACACTTGAGCTTTGTAATGTTACTGTGAGGTTATGGGAGGATTTAAAACAATTCTGACAAAGTAAAAACACTTTCAAAGGATTTTTGGTTTTGTCAGAAAGAATAGTTTATTGACACCAAAAAAAATAAAAACACGAACAAAAATAAAAGTGGCAGATTTTTCCTCATGAGACCTGAAGGTTAAAGATTAAAATTTTAAGCTTGGTATGACTTTTAACTCAAATGCTTGTAATTTATTTTATATAAACACACAAATAAAAGTATGAACACAACTTTATAAAATATTTTTTTTGTTGGTGAAAACAACAGTTTTGTATGCATGACAGCATGCATTGTATTAACATTAATAAATAGTCATGCTAACACATTAGCTTACATAAATATTTAAAGAATGTAACAAAAAAGCGAAGACATCATTTAAATGTTCTTCTCTTGGTTTTGCTTTGTTTCCCAAGAAATGAATTGGTTTTCCACTCTGGTTAACGTGCACAGTGGACTTTCCGTCACAGCAAAACTAAAGTGACAAGTGTTTTCTGGAGGAAGTAAGCATATCTCACCCAGGCTGTGACCACACATAACAATTTTAGCCCTCTGAGCTGAAGCTGGTCTTTTCTATCTAATTTGGCCTGACGTGTACATACTGTGCTCCTTCACGAAACATCTCCAGTTTTGGCAAAAATCCACTTTCCATGTTATATCTTCACATATTTAAGTCGTTTTCTCAACTGAATCTGACACTTTCTCACACACAATGCCCCCCTCTCCCTTCCATACGCACAGGCTGATTTTCCCATCATGTTTTCCATTTTTGCTTTCATTTTCCCTCTGGTTAAGAGAAAGCATACTAAGTGGTCCTTTTAACCCCTTTCCACTGCTTTCATCTTCACTCGGTGCAGTTCGCTGGTGCCTTCTTTTCTTGCCACAGCACTTTCTCTTAATAATCCCTCTTTTTTTTTATCATAACTGGATCCCTAATTCTCACTGATCGTTTGAGCACTCCACGTCTTTTATAAAAGCCAAGCAGGTTTTTCTCTCTCACTGCCCAGGTTGTAATTTTATGTCTAAAATTCACTTTGAGGCGTAGCATCTGTGACCAGCTGGCTTTCTTGATGCTCACTGTTACCAGCCCTGCATAGATTCAGTTTTTGCCAACCCTCTTCAGCGTAGTTTCTATTCCCCATGCAGGATGGATGTGTGTGTGGGTTCATTGTAAATTATTGTTTTTACATATGAGGCAGTGAGCCCCCTTCACCTCACTGAGGTGTGACCCTCGTGCTCAGCCATCCCAATATTTCCCACCTTTAGGTTTTACTATAAGAAAAATTTAATGGGCATAAGAGACAGAATTAGCTTTTTTGTTTTTCTACTGTTTTATTATTGCCAACTCCCAATAGAAAAGGGCATTATGTGTGAGTTTGTCTGCCTGTTAGAAAAATATTTGCTGAACCAGAACACAGATTTTATTTAAACTCATTAAACAACCATGGGACAAATATGTATAATAGTAAAATGCTTGGAAACACCAAAATGAAGATGGCCATCAGAGCTAAGTGAGCTTAAAAACAATAAAAATTGCAAAACGTCAGTCAATTTTACTAATACTGAACAAGAATGTGGGAAGATAAAAACTGAAAGTCATCTCCAACTTGTTATTAACTATTAGAGCCAACTGTGTCTGCGAGCAAAACATCTCATGACCCACCAGATGGATTTTAATGAAACTGTCAGAAATAAATAATCCAGTGTACATTTACAGCAGATTAACTTGTGAAAGTAATCAAATTCAAGATGACCACTACATAGAACTGACTTTTGTAAACACACAAAGAGCTATAACTTGGTCAGTTTTATTGATATTGAGTTAAACTATGCTGTGGTAGAAGCTGAGCGTCATTCTCAAAAAATCTTGCAAGACCTCTCGACTGTACTTAATGTAATTTCCAAGGTTTGACCAAACAGCTATAACGTTGTCCCTTCCTATCATAAGATTAACATATTTTTAGTCACTGGCATAAAAGGTGGTGGACAATATGCATTCCAAGATACATTGGGCATTTAATTTAATTTCACGTTTTCTGATGCATAAACACAGACCTGCACAAAACAAGTCCAAAACCCCATGCAATGTGAATCTGGACATGTTGATTTCAAAAGTAATGGGGTCGTACCTTCATGATGCCATTCCAGTTGTCGCCCGTAGAGACTTGAAACAAAGTAAGGAAGGCCATGCCAAAGTTTTCAAAGGTAGCGTGTCGACTCATACCTTCACACGGATAGTCTGCATTGCAAACTGAGTGAAAGAACATGGTTGATTGGTTAATGGAGTCATATTAGAAATGATGAAGGGTATTATAAAAAAAGTGGGGGCAAGAAAGAACAAGAAAAAAAAAGGAGATAATGAAAATAAGATCATTTGCAATCTTTTTGTCTATTAAACAAGCCAAACCAGTGTTGACTCAATTGGTCATTTATCGAGAACAATCTAACTTGATAAGGTTTTCATTTTGGAGCTTATATCAAAATGTAGTCTGCAGAATGGCATTAACGCAATAGGTATGAAAAATCTGCAGCTCAAAATTGATGTACTAGGCTTGAAAGATGTGTCTTACAAAAGCAGTGTGATTTTTTTATTGCACATCCCTATGAAAGGTGGAATATAATGGATAATTCAGTGATTGCTCTACCCACTAGATATTTTAATGAAATTCTCAGAAAGGAACCATCACATGCACTTCTACAACCAGTTCACGTATGCTGAAGTCAAATTTGATAACTGGACACGCAAGCCTTTGCAATTTACCAGAAGCAATGGAGCCACTGGAAACAAAGTGTGCTGGAGGTTTGTGACATGATCTTAGCTGATGAAAACTCACCAAGTTCTCCAAAAAGCTCTACTCCTAAGGCGGCGTAGATGAAAAACAGCAGCATGAAGAGCAGGCCCAGGTTACCCACCTGCAACAGAAATCACAAACAGACAAAATACTCTTTAATGTTTGCTTAAAGCAGCCACCAACTTTAAAACACTGGCAACCAGAAAACATATTTTAAAAGCATTGCTGCAATGTTATCTCCTATGGATCTTTAAGGAAACCTTGATTTTTACTGGTTTATTTAATGGTAAATAGACCTTCAATTAGATGGGAGACATTGTGTTCAACATAATGGTACTTTCAGTTATCCAACCATTAACAATGGTGTACCACAAGGCTCAGTCTTAGGACCCACCCTCTTTACATTCTACATAGGTAATGTAGGTCAGAACATCCCTGATGCATCCTTACATTTCTATGCTGATGACACAGTTTACTGTCGAGCCAAAACAGTTGCTAAGGTTTTCCAGCTTTTGCAGTCTGCTTTCGACATCATCCATTCAGATTTGTTCCATCTCAAACTTGTAATAAACACAGACAAAACCAAAGGGATGTTGTTTTCAAACAGGAAGTTGGTCCCAGCAGTCCTTCCTTCTTTTATCTTCAAATGGTGTTCTTGTTGAGTTTGTCGATTCCTATAAATATTTGGGTATCTTGGCCAATTCGCATTTCTTTTTTAAGGCCCATGTCGAAAATTTGGTAAAGCAATTGGAAGTAAAACTGGATTTCTTTTTCATAAATAGATCTAGTCTAACTCTGAACGCTAGGAAACACCTTGTAACTGAAGCTTTCCTTCCCTCCATTGACTATGGTGACATCGATGACATAAACGTTCCTACAAGCTCCCTGCAGATGTTGGATGCTGTCTATCATGGTGCGCTAAGATTCATAACTGGCTGTAACTACCATACCCATCACTGCAACCTGGATTCACTGGTTAACTGGACACAATTAACTTGACGCAGACTCTCTCACTGGTACATTTTCATCTTTAAATCACTTCATGGTCTGTTGCCTTCATACATCTCCTCCTACATGTCTCTGCGTGAGTGCAGCTACAGCGTGCGCTCTCAGGACATTATTACCTGCAGTGTTCCCTCTTTGTGGACTGAACTAGTTAAAAGGGTCTTCTACTACTCCGCTCTCATTTCCTGGAATATCTTGCAAAAAGAGCTGAGGCTCTCGACCTTGACCTCTCTAAGAGGCTTGAAACATCTGCTAAGTTCATGGCAAAAACCAATGCAGACATGTTCCTGTTTTTAGTTTTCTACACTGCCTTACAACCTAGCTGTTTTTGTTTAATTTTTTAATATCATTTTCTTCCATTTATTTTTTCAATTTATGTGCTGTCTTTTATGATTGTCTACTTTTATCATCATTCTTTGTTAAAAACAGGTCTCTTGTAAATGTCATCAAGGCTCAATGAGACGAACCTGTATAAATAAAGCTTGAATGAATGCATTACCCCTGAATCCATTACTTTTCTTGACAATATTTAAACATTTACAACATTGCTTAAATAAGAAGGCCATTTTACAGCATTTATTATTAGTCCCTGTCTTTTGATTTAGAAGAAGCCAGGAACTAAACTGTTCCAGCCTCCTGTTAATTTGCATTATAACTTGACTATATTTCTAGTTACATGTTGAGGAGAAACGCAGAAGATGTTGACAACACTCAGTCTGTTTCTCATCATGCAGCTCTTGTGTCACCCCATTTGAATCTGTAAACGGCAGCACGGCTTCCTGAGAGATTTTAACAGCGAACATATCATGCTTTTATGAATTTTTGAGTTTGGGGTGTTGGGACTTGGCTCAGTTCCACCACAAAACTGCCTTTTATGAACACAACTTAATGGAGATGAAGATGTTGCACCGTAAACACTCAGGGCGAAATCTAATCCCATTACAGGGATATGAAACTCTCTGCCAACGGCGCCACTCCACTGAGAACGAGGGCACGTTCTGACCACAAGTGCTGGCTGATTTCACTGCAGACATGTTCAAAGAACTGTCAGGGCTCCACCAACATTTTCAGGAAAATGAGTTCAGATGTGCTTTTCACTTTGTAAGTGTTGGCTTAAGATTAATGCTTATATCAGTGGTAGACTTTGAATGAAAGAAAAAACACATTATCAGCTGTTGAGATTAGGTTTATAGAAAAAAAATGCATAAATGAAAGCTCTATTTGAATCTGTATGCAGGACAAAGGTTTAATATAAAGACAAAACATTTCTAAACAGGCAGATTAGGGGACCAGCCATTAATTAGACATGTTCCTGATAATTATGGCCAACAAGTCTATATCTTAGTTTGTTCATTATTATTGTATTTTATTTTTTAGTTTTGGTGTCATAAATAGACAGCTTAATTTGAGCAGGGTGGTCCAGACATCTCTTTCCACTTTTCTGTGAGTTCCCAGGCCAACCGAGAGGCGTAGTCTCTCCAGCATGTCCTGGCTCTTCCCCAGGGTCTCCTTCCTGTCAAAGATGCCCTGGAGCACCTCCCTAGGGAGGTGTCCTGGGGACATTGTTACCAGATGCCTGAACCACCTCAACAGGCTCCTTTCGACATGGAGGAGCAGCGGTTCTATTTCAAGTCTCTCCCTGATAACTGAACTTCTCACCCTATCTCTAAGGGAGAGTCCATCTACCCTGCGGAGAAAACTAATTTCAACTGACTGTATCTGTGATCTTCTTCTTTCGGTCACTATCCAACGCTTGTGGCTATAGGTGAGGGTAGGAACGTAGACTGACCAGTAAACAGTGAGCTTTGCCTTACAGCTCAGCTCCCTCTTCACCACAACGGACCGGCACAGAGTCCGCAATACTGCAAAAGCTGCACCAATCTGTCTTTTCAGGTCTTTCTTGTAAATGAGTCCCCGAGGTTCAGTGGGATTAACCTGTATAAATAAAGGCTGAATGAATCTGTCAAACTCACGCTCCATTCTTCCCTCCCTCATGAACAAAACCCAGAGATACTTGAACTCTTCCACTTGAGGCAGAACCTGTCATAGACATCCTCAATAAGTTGAGCCTAACACGAATAAATGTGCGTCAAGGGAGTCAACCTCATATTCTCTAACTAACCTAACCTTGTACATCCATAACATCCTACATAATATTTTTTCTTTGAGACACAAAGGAGCTCGATCAATAGAGATTTTTGGAATAAGGAAAATAATTATTAAAATATTTCAGTTTAGTATGGGTTTGGTAATAGCAAGAAATACTTTTTACATTTTAAGTAACAGAAAAAAGTAGATTTATATGTTCTGGGAGCACATGGAAATATGAATTCTGGGTATTTCTCATGCATCCTAGAAATAATCGCAGTTGGCCCCCGCACATGATACAGCCATTAAGTTTCAGATAGGGGAGTTGTCATTAATAGAAAGTGGATTAATGACTTTGTTTTTACAGTTTTGTTAAAAAAAAGAAGCAATAAAAATGTATTTCCTAACGCATAAAGAAGGCATTCAGGGCGTGCACATCCCTTTTTAAACATACCAACTTTGTAAACTGGTTGTGACAGTTGTAAAATGTCCTGCTGCTCTAATTTTTTTGCAGATATTCTTCCCTCAGTACCGCTGTAGTTTTATTATTACTCCTTGTCCTCTCATGACAAAATCAAGTATTTAGCCAATCCTTTGTTCAGACATACTCTGGAGCCATTTTTAGAAACGTCAATACCATCCTCAGTGTCTTGCTTGATCGAATGCAATGAAGTTAGCAGCTTGCCATTTCAGTGTCGCTGTGAAATAAAGATTTCCATCACCTCAGGTAAAACTGCTCACCTGCTATTAGGCTTTTACTCTCACTTTTTAGCACCTCTACATTGCACACATCCATACAGACGCAAAGCGACTTCCTGGAGCTTTTTAATTAGCCTTCGTTTTAATTACCTCCATGTCTGCCTGTGGGACCGAGCAAAAGACTGGGGTGTTAATGAGAGGGGGATCAATAGAAAGGAAAGACAAGGAATCTGCTCCCACTCACCCCCGCCTGCCCTCCCCTCACCACACCACCTGCTCCCATCTGCTCCATTTCACTTCCGATGGTCAAAGGATCAGATGGGTGTGTCTGTTTCATGACAGCAACTTTTGTTTAAGGACCAATTAGATTTGTGTTTAAGTAAATTCACTTGTTTATCTCCTTGGAGACGTGAATGAGGCGAATCAAAGTCCTCTTCAGACTGTACAGACATGCAGGAAGAACAGCAGAGTCCCTCCGCTGTCTGCTGTACACGTGCGGGAATAGTCTCTAATTTTTACTAACTTTTACAGAAAAAAAAAACATTATTAAAAAATAATGCATCATGCATTCACAGTTAGCGCCATGAGAAAGTCAGAGTTAATACTCGGACAGAACGTTAGTGTACAGTGATTAAACAAATTGTGGACACATTTATCAAAATAAACATTTTCTGCTGTGATTCATTCACCTGCAAACAATTATTTTAATGGGAAAAACGGATATTTTTAAAAATGATGCATTGGAAACTTCTAATAACTCAAATTTTGGTGTTTTTATCTACACTTGACACAATGAGGTTTTGAAAAACGACGAGATAGCGACCTTAAATCACAAGAAAATTAGAGGCCAGCTTTTGAGTCTGGTTTACTTTGTCCTGACTCATACCATTAAATTTATAATGTGATGGGAAAATTAAAGGTTGAGAAAAAAATGTGTCAAAAGTTCAAGAAGCTACAATAGCTTGGGAGAATATTTAGCGGTGCTACAAATGTTCCTTCTTCATAATTTTGATGTTGTTAGTGTCGACATTATTCCTCCTTTGTGTCATGGGATAAAGATTTCAACTGCTCATTTGGACATCGTTTTGCTAAATGAAGAAACAAAAAAGTTTGAAAATGTTCAGAGTAGTTTAGTCATCTGAATGAAGCAGAATCCAGACAATTTATATGCTGGTAAAACAAAATTGCCTACAGAAAACTACATTGTGATAAGTTGTAAAGTTAGTCAGCCAGATTTTGTATACAGTTTTTATGGTAAAAAATGTGTTAAACAGGTTCCCTTAAAAAAACAACAACCACATTATAAAAGAAACCCGATGACTTGCGTTACAAGCAATGTCTTAAAGACATAAAAACTTGGACGACCCTTAACTTTCTGCATTCAACAGACAAGACAGAGGTTGTGGTTTTTGGACCTGAGCATTTTAGGAATACATTTTTCAGCCTTTCACTTTCTCTGGATGATGTTAATTTGGCCTCTAGTTCTAAAGTTATAAACCTTGGTGTCATTTTTGAGCAGAACATGTTTTTCAACCCCCACATTAAAAATGTTACCAAAACCACTTTCCTGCGCCTGCATAATATCACTAAAATTAGAAACGTCTTGTCCAAAAAATGATGCAGAAAAACTTGTCCATGCATTTATCACGTCTAGACTGGACTATTACAATTGTTTGTTATCTGGGTGTCCACAAACTTTATTAAAAAGTCTTCAGCTGATCCAAAATGCTGCTGCCAGATTTTTAATGAGAGTTGATAAGAGAGATCTCTCCAGTTTTAGCTTCTCTCCAGTGGCTCCCTGTCAAATCCAGAATTTAATTCAAAATACTACTTCTAACCTACAAAGCTCTCAACAACCTAGCTCCATCTTATATTACCAATCTTATTGTTCCGTATTTTTTTAACAGAGCACTTTGCTCTCAGACTGCACGCTTACTTGCCATTCCTAGAGTTTCCAAGAGCAGAATGGGAGGAAGATCTTTCAGTTATCAGGCTCCTCTTTTGTGGAACCAACTTCCAGTTTCTGTCTGTGCGACTGACACATTGTCCAGTTTTAAGACTGGGATTAAGACTTTCCAGTTTGATAAATTCTAAAGTTATGGTTGGCTTGGGTTTCCTGTAGGCTTAGACTGCTGGACGACAAACTGACCATGTCTTCACTCTGCTACTGTCTTTACTTTGCTCAACCTGTTTTTTATTTGTAGTTATTACTTTAACATGTGTTTTTTGTCTTTCAGGTACACCTGCTCCTACATTTGGATCTGCCATTCTGTGTTCATTTGCATCTCCTTTCTGTCCTCTCAAATTCAGCTGGTCAAAGCAGATAGCCGCTTGTCCTGAGCCTGGTTCTGCTGGAGGTTTCTTCCTTTTTAAAGGGAGTTTTTCCTTTCCACTGTTGCCATTGAGCTTTCTTCATGATGGGAGACTGCAAAGAAGTGAAGATTCAACGAGTCTTCTGGCTTCCTTAGATAGAGAACTTTACTAATTGGCTTTTTTATGTATGCAAATGTTTATGTAAAGTGCCCCGAGACAACTTTGTTGTGGACTGGTGCTATATAAATAAACTGAATTGAATAATTACCATGTATTTGCATCAAACCTGCCAATTCTAAGTCATCTAGTTGTATGAAACTGATAATTATCAGGTTGGTCAGTGAAATCCATCTTCCTGGAAGCTGTGAGGACTGTAAGAACCAATCAATTAAGTATTTCATGAATAATGAGTAAAAAAAAAAAGTTCTATACAGTAAAGAACGAATCAAAACAAGTTAGTTGAGGATCTATTCCTGGGACCAGAGTTGTGTTTGGTGGACTGTTTTTTTGTTGTCAAAAAGGGGAATGTACATATAAAATGTAAACTACTACGTTTTTAAAATCATTGCTTTTACATACAAAAATAATCATGTTTTGGAAAAGAAAAGAGACGTCCTGCTCTCCAGTTCAAGTCCTTTTTCCACACGCGCTCCTTTTGGCGCGCTGCTGAAACGTCTAATCTTGGAATGCTGTGAAACAACTCCCAGTGAAATGCCAGATAATCCCCCGATGTCTCTGCCTCTTGGTGAGTTTGCTTTACTTCACAGCGCCCACTCCATGAGATTACAAGAGATTTCACATCTAAAGTTTTTTTTTTCCCAGTCAAAACAAAAGCACTCTTAATATTTTTCAAGCACTTTTATTTAGTAACACAGCTGAACTCTACGTGCACTGGAATAGAAAGGAATGGCCCAGAAACTCCCACTTAAAGGACAGTTCACCGATAAATGACCTACATCCTGGTTTATGAACCATTTCTCACACACTATGGTCTCAGTGGGAGTCTGGGTGAGAAAGTGAAAACAAGACAAATTATACGCCAGTGCATGAGGGTGTGCATATGGGTATCCTATGAGTTGCCTAATAGCCGACAGAGAAAGAAAAGAAGGGCACGCGTTCCTAGACAGTTGGCTAAGACTGCGAGCAGCTTTCTCCTGGGGAATGATGCGTGTGAGACAAGAGAAGGAGACAGGGTCATACCTGAGGCAGGGCTTGAACCACTGTGTCCAATAAGGCTCTCATTCCCGTTGCCATCTTCAGCAGCTTCAGCACTGTGGGCACATCAGATCAGTGAGAAGATTAGAAGCAATTTATGGGCACATTCTTCTATAAATATACAAAACAGTAAACTGCAGACAAGTTAGTTCACAATAATGCTTCAGGTCGTAATTGCTATGCAGCTAACTGACCTGCAAAACCATTTACGTTTTAACATTCTAATACGATCAGATCAATGTTCTCCTTGCAGAGACGTGGTGTGCAAAGGATTTAATAAGCGTGCGTGCGTGTACCTCGGGCTATCCTCAGGACCCTCATGATCCTGATGATAGTGGGGTTGATGGGCAGGGCAGCACTGATCTCAATCTCCTCCAGAGTGATGCCCATCACTGACAGGAGCACGATGGCCAGATCCAGCTGGTTCCACCTAGAACAAACCCACATACACACATCTGGATTGGAGCAGAGCCTCAGAACACAAACACAACGTTTGCAGATGACTAAACCAGCACTCTGGAAAATTTGTAAGCTAACATGGCTTACAAAAATAATTTACTGCAGATATTCCCAGAAGATACATATTTTCTTGTTCTTGCAGGAAGTTCCCAACTGTGCACCAAAAGTACTATAGATTTACTTTTTTTTTTTTCAATTGAAAAACACCCACAGAGTTGCAGGTAAATTACTGTCATGAAGAATTGACAGCAATGTAAATGTTTATTGTCGAGCTAAAACAGTTGCTAAGATTTTCCAGCTTTTGCAATCTGCTTTCGACATCATCCGGTCTGATGTGTTCCATCTCAAACTTGTCTTAAACACAGATAAAACCAAAGGGATGCTTATTTCAAAGAGGAAGTCAGTCCCATCAGTTCGTCCTCTGATTTTATCCTCAAATGGTGTCCCTATTGAGTTTGTTGATTCCTATAAATATGGGTATATTGGGCGACTCGCATCTCTCTTTTAAGCTCCATGTGGAAAACCTAGTAAAGAAACTGAAAATTAAACTGGGTTCTTTTTCAGAAACAGATCCTGTCTAACTTTGAATGCTAGGAAACACCTTGTAATTGTGACCTTCCTTCCCTCCACTGACTACGGTGACATTATCTATTTGAACGCTCCTGCAAGCACTCTGCAGATGTTGGATGCTGTCTATCATGGTGCATTAAGATTCATAACTGGCTGCAACTACCATACCCATCACTGCACCCTGTATTCACTGGTTAACTGGTCATCATTAAACTCACGCAGACTCTCTCACTGGTACATTTTCATCTTTAAATCATTTATTGGTCTGCTGCCTTCAGACATCTCCTCCTACATGTCTCTGCGTGAGTGCAGCTACAGCATGCACTCTCAGGACATTATTACCTGCAGTGTTCCCTCAGTGAGGACTGAACTTGGCAAAACGACCTTCTCCTACTCCGCTCCTGTTTTCTGGAATATCTTGCAAAAAGATCTGAAGCTCTTGTCCTTGACCTCTCTAAGTGACTTTAAACATCTGTTAAGTTCCTGGCAAAAACTAATGCGGACATTTTCCTCTGTTTAGTTTTCTAAATTGCCCCTTATAACCTAGCTGTTTTTTTTTGCTACTATTATTCTTGATTGACCTTTTGGTGGCTATTTTGTTTTGATTTGTAAAAAAAAAAAGAGAAACATATGTATATGCCTATACCTATTTCATGACTATTGTTGTTGTTGTTATCCAATGTTGTCATCACTCTTTGTTAAGGAATCAGGTTTCTCTTGTAAATGAGTCCCTGAGCTCAATGGGATTAATCAAGAAGATTGGACTAAACATTTCATCAGTCCAATTAAAATTAAGCTTTTTTCCTTCAAACTGAGACTATGAAAAACCAATCAATAGATATGATTTTAACAGTTTCTACAGAACCCCACTTCAGATCTTATGAACTATCACTTTAAGACTGTGTGAGGTTTTATGCACAAAAAGGAAATAAAATATATTTGTAACATAGTATTCAGCAGGCTAAAAATTAATTTAATTTCCTATAAAATTTCTGAAAACCCATCGACTTCAGTGGGACAAATTATAATTTTTATCATCAAGCTTTTAAAAATCATATTTACCTTTTTTTTAAATTGTCTGGTTGTGCGTATAGTTCTTATTTTCCAGTTTTCCTCCCTGTTACATGCCCTGTCTGATAAGAAGAGCAAAAGTAGGAGCAACCTTTCCTGTTGCAATCTTATCAGTTCATCATGCCGAAAGGCGCACATACACCTGCAAACTGAGACTGCCTGCAGCACCACAAGTCTTATTGCGTTTGTGTGTTAATTTTCTACTCCAATGACCCAGTTATAAAGCTGAGCGTGACCCCGGACTATAAATCACACCATGCACAAAGACAGTTCACGGCTGTTGGTGTCACCACATAAAAAGTGACAAAGTGCTTGCAGATGACCGTGATAAATTTTCACCACATCCGCCCATCCGTTTCTCATTTCATCACTCATTTGTCCTCTTCCTTTGATCTGACCAGCTTGCCTTGCTATATAATATTTCTCATGCTAACCAGTTTCTTCATACCCTTTCACTTCTGAAACAAAAATAGGTCAGTGACATTAGGTCCCCATTAACATAATATAAGCCCTCTAAGCCCTCTAAATCATAGATGAGGATGATGGGAGCAAGATGAAGAAACTGTAAGTGTAACAGATAAAAGCGTAACAGATTAAAGGAACAGACTGTTTGATTATGTGATTAAAAAAAAAAAAGAGAAATTGCATTTCCTGCAAAAATGCAGTGTGATTGCTTATTTCAGAAGAATTTTCTGAAAAACAACTGAAATTAGCTTAAAAAGCATTCTGAAATGTAGCTGAAATGGAAGAACAAACCTAATTAGCAGAAAGCATCCATCCATCCATCCATTATCTTTATCTGCTTATTCCATTTTGGGTCACTGGGGTCGCTGGTGCCCATGTCCAGCAATCACTGTGTGAGGGGCGGGGTACACCCTGGACGGGTCGCAAGTCCATCACAGGGCCACATAGAGACACACGAGACAAACAACCATTCACTCTCTCACTCACACCTAGGGACAATTTAGTGTTACCAATCAGCCTAACATGCATGTTTTTGGTCTTTGGGAGGAAACAGGAGTACCAGGAGAAAACCCATGCATGCACGGAGAGAACATGCAAACTCCACCCAGAAAGGCCCCTGGACCGGGGTTTGAACCAAGGACCTGCTCGCTGAGAGGCAGCAGCTCTACCAGTTGTGCCACCGTGCTGCCAGCAGAAAGCAGAAAGAACATATTTGCTGAAATAGATTTAAATAAGCAAAAAATAGCACAACATTTAGGAAAGTAGCTAAAATAGCTGAAATGAGCAAAAATTTAAAAAATGGCTCAAAAGTAGCTGAAAGGCAGAAAGAAGCTTAAACTACCAGAAGGAAGCGGAAGGAGATGAAATGAGCTAAAAAAAAAAAGTGACCTTTTGCTAAGAATGCTAAAAATAGTATAACACAGCTAAATAGTAGATGACATGGCAGAAATAGACGAAACTAGTATAATTAAGCTGAAAGGAGCCTAACTAGCTGAAATTAGCATAAAAAAGTCAATTAGGCTGAAAGTAGCAGGAATTACAAAGAAAAACATGAATTTTCTGAAAACAGCTGACATTAGTCAAAAAGTTAGCAGTAAAGGTAGAACAAGCTTAAAAATTTGCAAACGAAAGCAGACAAAAAAACGTTTGCCCTATTATGTTGAAAGAAGCAGAAATGCGCTGAAATGAGCAAAAAACAGCTGAAAAGCAGCTAAAAAGGCAAAAAGAAGTTTAAATTGCCAGAAGGAAGTGGAGAGAGCACATTTTGCTTAATTAGCCTGAAAAAAATTGAAATTAGTGCAAAAAAAAAAGTGGAATTACCATAAAAAGCTAAAATTAGCATTAATCAGCTAAATAGTGGCTAGCAAAAAAAGCTAAAAATTGCAGAAATAAAATGAAAGGAGCATAACAAGTGGAAATTGGCAGAAAGAAGTTAGAAGATGTGCAAAAAATGTTTTAGTTAGCCGAAAAAAGCTGAAAGGAGCACAAAACAGCTTAAAGAACAGCTGAAATTAGCAGAAAGTAACTGAAAAAATAGTTTAAATTTGCACAAGGAAGCTGAAAGAAGCTGAACCAGAACAAAATGTGAAAAGAGCAGTAAAAGGTTTTAAACAGATCTAAAGATTTGAAGGATGTAAATTGAGCTCAATTAATTTTCTCTGAGAACAAAATGGCAGAAAAGGCTAAATATTTCAAAAAGCTAACGTTGCACGAATAACAAAAGTTATAACAGGACTGTCCTGAAGGAGCTGAACATTTTGATTTATGATTTGTTGAAATATTACAAAAATTCTGGCACGAGAAAGATGCCGAAATACGTATGAAAGAAAAATGGATCACGATAGTGTGAACGCTTCATAAACATTCACACAATAAACCACAATCATGGTTAAATATGTTTTGAAGTGTTCAACTTTGGAATAAAAACTGGGGGAACAGTGACTCCATCAGAAGAAAAACAACTGCTGTGTTTAAAGGCCTGTTCTGGATAAACTACGCTGCAGTCAACTTAAATACAGAATAACTAAACTATTTCTTCGTATTTCCAAACATGTGATGCAGTTAAAGCTTTTAGTCTTGATTATATAATGATCAAAGTGAAATGTGAATTTATAGGGAAACACTTCATACCAAATGAATGTTTATTGTAGCACTATTTTCTGTTTAATCAAGAGATTAAAGCACTTGCCTAGAGCTATAATCAAAAATTAATTGTTTAACATGTTTTGATCACATCTGTGCTAAGTGACACATTTTATTCATAAAAAAAATGAAAATGGTATTTAAACCTGTTTGTTATTGTTTCATCAGAGAGGAGGTTAGAACATTTAAGTCCGATAAGGGGAGACAGGCTGTCGTGCAATCCTTCAGATCCAATGTAATCTACCTCCAAACAGCAGATTAACTCTCCCACCGTGGACTGAGGGATTCTGAAGCTTTATTGTATTTAAAAAATGCACGTGTAAACACGGATGCAAAAAAGCACAGAGGTACTTGGCCGTGCACACTTCCATGCAGATTTTGCTGTAAATTCAACAAGTATGAACACTTGTACACGCAAACACACACATACCTGTCTTTGAAGAAGCGTCGAAATCCGAAGGCGATGAGTTTTAATACAGACTCCAGCACAAACATGGAGGTGAAGAAATAGTTGCAGTACTTGAGGGCGAGATCCAAAGACTGAAAGGAGACAGTAAAACAAGCATGAGTCTGTGTGTGGATCTTACCGTGCTTTCAGCAAACTGGAACAGCTCCAGTTGTTTCTGGAGTGAAATCAAAAGTGCTGCAGGCCAAATCAGAGCGTTCTCCTTTCACACCAGCACAAACGCACTTTAAGTCCCTTAACAAATACACACTTCAAAGGTGAGTGCTGTAACATCGGAGCAGCGAACATGCTGTAATTGTTTAAAAACCTGGCCTGGGATCCCGTTTCTGCAGAGGATACAGTATCTCATGGAGAGCTGTGCGTTCTAACAAGAGGGACGCTGCCAAATGTCAGGACGAACAGCTGACAACTGCAGCCAAGACCTGTGATATTTATCCGATGCACGGTCAGTTTGAGCTGGCCCGTTACATTTTGAAGGTCAAACGGGTGTTGTATCTCAAGATAATCGCTTCTCTTCCTCAGCAAAGTGCTGCCAGGCTTCTGCACCTCTGTTTGCCACACAGAACAGGCCTGAGACCCAAACTATGGCTAAAAGCACTGTGACAGCAGCGACATCAAAAACAGCAGCAGTCATTGCTCTTGGTCTGGAGCATGGATACAGTGTCAATACGGTGGACTCTTCAGAAGTATAAAACTAAGAGCGACAATAGTTTTTACTTTATGCAATAGTGGGGAAAAAAACGGCTAACCTGTTTGCACAGACAGATAATACATGTTCTTCAGTACATTTATTCAGTACGGTAGTCCCTTGCTACTTCCAGGTTCGACTTTCACGGACTCGCTCTATCGTGGTTTGTGAACGTACAGTACATAATATCATACTGTACAAAAATATTATACAGGACACGATTATCAACTTTAATATTACACATGTGATTGGGACTAGAGCTGTCATTACTAACCCAAACCCAGAGCCCGGCCCCACCTGACCCGAACTCGGACCGGGGCCATAATAATGTGCTTAATGTGTGGGCTGGGTCGGTGTTGGGCTTTTTATCCCGTCAGGGACGTGTGCGGCCGACGATCCAATATATACAAACATGGCTTGCCATACATTCACCTGCCGCATGCGGCCATTTCACCGCATGCTGACCGGCAGATTGAAAGAGGTAAAAAGTTCAGTTAAGTTTCAAATGGACTATTGCCAGTGATCCATCAGCCCAAATGGACATTCATTCAGGTGCTGCACTCAGCGGACGCGAACAGCCAAGACCCAAACAGGTGAAATCACAAAATATCTGACATGTCAGAGCAGGGTCCAATACAGGCAGAAACAGGGGAAGCATTTAATGCACTCTGATGGTTCCTCAGCTCCAATCTTCTGCCCCCTCAGCCGCACGCGTCCGCCAACCGTTAATAACAGTCGGTGGTATAAGCAGTCAAAGCTTAATTAAAATTTTTGGGGTTTTCTTTGGGTTCGGACCTGTAATTACTGTTAATTTGTTGGATCAGGTGGGGTTCGAAGATGATAGCTGCGGGCTGGGGCCGGGTCAGTTCGGATTATTTGGACTTGAGTGCAACTCCAATTAGGACAGAACTGGATGCAGTACTGTACAGTGAAAAGTTAACAAAAAATAAAATACTTCAGACAGGTGCCACCATTTTGTGGTTTTCTCTAAGCCTCCACTGAATTTCCACTCATACAGTAACTTCCACATTTCCCAGAAGACAACAGGGCCCTGCCCAGAAGCCCCATTTCCTTCTGCTGAAAAATGAGAGATAAAGTTTTGATCTGATCGGCGCTCAGCAGATGCAGAGAAGTTGGACTGAACTCATCGAATTGGACCAGAAACGGAGCAGAACCAGACCTCCAGACCCATCGGTGAATCTTGAGAGCTGGTAGCCGGTCCACGAGGACTTCCAAGCGGGGATGTTCTGTTTCCGTGACCCATCTGGACTTTTTTCATACAGACTTGGAATCTATTGACCACCTCCGGTCCACGCCAGCCAACCACAGTCCTGCCCCCCCCCCCCCACACACACACACACAAAAAAAGCACTTTGGCAATCAAGAACCGGACTGAACCAGACTGAACCGGATCAGAACTGGACCAACAGACTCAGGTGAACCCGAGAGCTCCTAGCCGGCCCACGAGGACTCCCAAGCGGGGATGCGCCGCCTTAAGTAAAATTCATTAGCTACATACAAGTATGTTGTTAAAATTAGTAGGTTTAAAAGATAACAATGATTGTGGGCTTTGATGCTGCAGGTTACATCTGCAGAAAAGAACCGAGTCGAACCGGAACCGAGAGAGAGAGAAACCAGCTGTTCACATGATAAGGAGGACCAGCAGCATGTGTGTTCTGCAGAGCTGGTGAGTAAAATTTAGTAGCTACATATACAGTACTGCGTGTATGTTGTTAAAATGACGTAGGCTTAAGAGTTTAGAACATAAGAGTGTGGGAAGGGTTTCTAAAGCCTTAGAATATATACATGCTAAAATAAATATAACGTTGATACTTTGCAAATTTTCATTTGTTGCATGGGGTGGGGGCGTGGGTCCGGAACCAAACACTCACAATAAACGAGGGACAACTGTACTTCAAAAAATATTACTTCAGCTAATGTCTGAAGATTCTGTTCACTTGCGCTTCTTCCACACAATAAAGGAGTCCAGATCATTGCACCAACAAGTATTTTTCCTTACACGAGGTTGATTGTAGTGCTCCAGGGACATGGTGATCACATTGATACAGATGATGAAGGTGATGATGAGGTCCAGGTAGTGGTTTGTGCAGAGTGTGTGAATCATCAGGCGCATGTTGCCATAGTTGGCATAGTAGGGCAGCTTCTGAGCCTCTGTCAGAAAAATAGAATATACACTAATATAAGATAATATAAAACATAAAATTATTTTTGCTAATAGAAAGGTCAGTAAATTACCTCAGGTGCTCTGGTCATTTTACTATAAGTGACTGGAAATTCCTCATCGGAAATGTTGAAAAAGAATTTTTGTAAATCTGATTCAAACTGCAAAACTCATTATTAATTATAAAAACTAAGAGAATTATGCAAACGTGTGTGAAGCACAATTTTTACGTCTCTACATGCTAATGAGTGGAAGAACACCAGAACAAGAGGGATAGATGGGCACTTTACGTTCAATCTGGTCCTCTGGACATTCAAAAAACAAGAAAACAAAAAAACAAAGCAAAAAAAATGTAGAAACGTTTCGTCTCTCATCCGAGAGACTTCCTCAGTCTGAGGAGCTGTATTCAGCTCAGTCTCTTAAATATCACCTTCTCAGAGTGGATCAACCAGTTTGCTGCTGACGACCAAAACCAGCTACTCACATGGTCAAGAAGGACCATCAGCCTAACAAAGGATCATTAGCACACTGATGGTTGTTTGCTATTCACAGGGGGTTGGGTGATATTAGCAATAACAGCATTGTAAGAGGGGGACAGTTGAACACTGAGACCTCCACCCTGTTTAATGATGGACGATTTCTTTTCACAAAGATGGCCTCCTTTACTCCTCTCTCAAACCATCGTTCCTCTCTGTCCAGGATGTGAACATCTTCATCCCTGAAAGAGTGACCGCTGGCCTGGAGATGAGTGTAGACCGCAGAGTCCTGGCCTGATGATGTTGATCTTCTGTGCTGGGCCATCCTTTTGGCCAGTGGCTATTTTGTTTCCCCGATGTAAGACTGATCACAGCCCTCCTGACACTGAACAGCATACACAATATTACTCTGTTTGTGCCGGGGGACTGGATCTTTGGGATGAACCAGTCTTTGCCGTAATGTATTTTGGGGTTTAAAAGCCACTGGGACGTTATGTTTAGAAAATAAACGTCTCAGTTTCTCTGATACTCCCTCAACATATGGAATGACCACTGGTCTGGGTCTGGGTTCCTCCTTTTCACCTGTTGGCTGACTGGAGTCCTGTTTGGGTTTCTTCTCTGCTTTCAGGAGGGCCCAGTTAGGATATCCACATTGCTCTAGAGCCTGTCTTGTGTGGGATTTCTCCTTCTGCCTGGCTCCTGAGTTAGTGGGGACGCTGTCTGCTCTGTGGTACAGAGTCCTGATGACTCCTAACTTGTGCTCCAAAGGGTGATGGGAGTCAAACTGCAAATACTGGTCTGTGTGGGTGGGTTTGCGGTACACCTCAGTTTGCAAATGTCCTCTATCAGAGACTGAGACCTCACAGTCCAAGAAAGCCAACCTGCCATTTTTTACATCTTCTCATGTGAACTTTGTTTTGTTTTTTGTTTTTTTGTTTTCTTGTTTTTTGAATGTCCAGAGGACCAGATTGAACTTTTTTGGATTTTTCTACCTGGATTATTGAGCATGTATCAGGATATCTTAAATGTGTTGTCTTCACTTAAGGTTGACAAAATAAATTCCTCTATTGCTTTAAATTGTGTCATAACAAATGTATAACAAGCTTGAAAGTGTTTTGGTTTCATTTAACAGTAATAAATTATATCCTGATGCATGCTCAATAATCCAGGTAGAAAAATCTAATAAAATTAAATCAGGAACTTTGGACGGATTCTTTTTCTTGAACGTTTCATCTTTTTTCCAAAAGACTTCGTCAGTCTGAGGAGCTGCAACAAACTCAGTCTTATAAATAGCGCCTTCTCATAGTGGATAAACTAGTTTGCTGGTGACGTCCAGAACTAGCTGTCCACATGTAAAAGGAGGACCATCAGCCTAACAACTGATCGTTAGTGCCCTGATAGGAATATATACATTTTTAAATCACAGCTTTCCCGCCTTCTTTTATTTTGATACTTCTGTTGAATTCTGGTGAATCTGATTTTTCCCTGTGGTCCTTAAGATGTGTTTGGAATGTGATCAGTGTTGTTAGTATTTTATCTAGACTGACCCTGGGTTTTTGATCTGCTCAAAGACGGATTGTAATGAGATTATAACCCAGTTCTGACTGGTTTAAACGAGGCCAGCAACTCTAAAAAAAAGTCTCCCAGGAATTCAATATCCGTAAAGAAATAGAATTTGTATTTATTTGTTATTTCTTTGTTGGCTCGCCACATCACACAAGAGAGTCTTTGTGCACCATATAATTTTTTCCTGACACGGCAGATCACATTGAGATCACACTTAGTCTGCCCCTTCTTATCCATGTAATAGAGGGTGCTCCCAGATGTGAAGGCGGAGCCTAGGCCCTATATATTTGTAAAGCAATGTATCATCCGGCCCTCTCCCGGTCCAAGATCTCGCGTGGAATTGTATCAGGGAGGCCAGCGCTGTAAAGCTGTAATTTTCTCCTGCCTTGATTTAATACAAATGGTAAAGCTGCATTAATGTTTCCTTGATTTATTGCGATAATGTGAGTTGCTACTTCTGAGGGAGGTCCGAGCCGGGAGCCACGTGAGCTGGAGGCGGTCCTGGGATCCGAGATGAGGCCTGAGCCCCACAGCTAGCAACAGCTAGCTGCAGCAGCTCGGGGGCCCTCAACAGCTCACGTTGCAACAGTGCCCATAATTTCTTGTGTCTCATTGGGTTCACTGAGCAAATATGAAAGCGTAATCATATTTTTTATGTGTTAGTGCAAATTAAGTCATACACTTCATAGAACTGACCACAGACCTAATTAAGACAGGGTTTTAAATGTCTGTCTAGTTTTTTTGTTTTACTCCTTTTAGCTAAATTTTTACACATCTGCATTTTTTTTAAACCAACTAATCCAGATTTTAGTCTTTTTCACATAACATTTCCAGTCATCTGCCTTACTCCTCCTCTTTTTCTCCATGCGCCGTTGCCTCTTCTCCTCGCGCCTCTTGGCCTCCTCCACCTCCTGATGCTGCCGGCACTTGTGGAAGTTTTCCACCACCACTCCGACAAACATGTTCAGGACAAAAAAGCTGACGATGAGGAGGAAGGAGATGAAATACAGCAGCATCCATGGGTTGTTGTTGGTTACCGGCTAGATTTGGGATGATGCATTATGATTATTTTTTAGCGTGATAATTTAATGTAGAAAGATATGATAAAAAAAGAAAGAGAGGAAAAGTTAACAAGGAAACCATTATATAATAGAAAAGCATGATTTTTTTAAGCTATCATCTAAGATAGCTACATGATAGTCATTTTTATTTAGTTGACGTGAAGATACCTGTTGGTCAACTCCCACTGCATCCAGGCCATGGTACATGATGTTGACCCATCCATCTTTGGAGGCGAGTACAAATAAGGACATCAGGGCCTGAATAAAAAATAGATAAACATGAGATGTTAGTGTAAAAAAAGTTCAAAAAAAAAATTGAATCGCAATGAGTGAGCAATGAGTCCAGTGTGTAACAAAACGTCTGTATGACCCTGACCTGTCCCAAGTTGTCAAAGTTGTACTTATGATGGACCCACTTGTAGTTGACTTGCAGACAGTCGGACTTGTTGGTGATGTTTTTAACATCAGGGCCGAGACAGTAAAAAAACTTTCCTTTGAATAACTGTCAAGAAAAACATAAAGCTTTTGATGTCATCTTTATAATACGAGACAGACAAAAGTGTCATTTTAAGATGAAATCTGAGATCTGAAAATATGTGGTGATGTAAAAAGCAGAAAAAACACTTTTCTGTGTTTGTTTTGGATTTCGACAGCATATTAAAATAAATGACTGTAGATGACTGATAATGTGACATTATCAGCTTTTTCATATCTGATACTCTTTAGAATGATCTCCAACATCACCAGGTTGCCATGGACCGGAGGTGATGTGACATTGCCGTATTTTATGGCCTATAAGTTGCAGCTTATTGCATAACTTACATGCCCTGTGACTTATACACCAAAGCGACATTTATGTTTTTTCCCCATATTTATAACCCAATTTTTGGCTGAGATTTGACCGTTTTCATTCATTCTCACATTGAAAATACTGAACACTACCATTTTCAACCGCTAGATGGCACTCAAGTTGTATGGCATGCTGTGTCCTGTATGGCATGCTGTGTCATGTAAGGCATGCTGTTGTGTACTAGGTAAAAGTGGCTATTAATGACACAATCGGCTTGCCATAGTCTGCCACCTCCGTTCAACTCTGGGATCATGCCTGGAGCAAATCAGCTTCATTTCGCTGCACCGCCCTGGCAAAATGCAACTAATTTCACCATTGAAGTGCATTTATTAAGTAAAAGTTAAACTGAAACACACCTTTGCTACAATGTCGAGCTAACAAATGGTTGTTTTAGATGCGTATCTTGTTAAATTTTGATGAAATGTGCAGCGTTCCTCCTTCCTGATTTCCTCCCTCTACGTGAACCCGGAACACAGAGGCAGCGAATACTTTTGAAATGCAGCTGATTTGATCATCAAAGTGCATTTATTAAGTAAAAGTTAAACTGAGACACAAATTTGCTGTAATTTTGAGCAAACAAATAAATGTTTTGAAGTGTTTATCTTGTTAAATTCTTGTTAATGTCCTCCTGTACACGCGCCCGCGGCCACCATTTGGCGGCCAATTGATTTTTGGCACAACATTTCTGGGTCGTCAGCGGTGATGCGTAACAAACGTGACGTGTCAGCGGTGACACATAATAGATGCAACTTATATGGCGAAGCAACATATTTATGTTTTTTTCTACTTTATTAGACTCATGCGACTTATAAGGCGGTGTGTTGTGTACGGCGGAAAATATGGTATTATCTTCCAGCTACAAATCTCAAACACAAGACAACTATGCAAAAGAATAATGGGAGTATTACAGAAGATGCAGCTTTACAAACTCTCCAAGAAGCAAACAGATAAGGCTCTTAATAATATGCTTACAACATGAGAGGTTTCACTTAAATACAGTCATGCTGTGCTGCCCACCTGAACTCCAAGAATCCCAAAGATGATGAAGAAAGCACAACAAATCAGGACGATGTTGCCGATAGGCTTCAGAGATGTGATGAGAGTCTCCACCACCAGCTTCAGCCCAGGAGCTCTGCTAATTACTCTAAAGAGATCAGAAAACAGTATTAATATATATTAAGAAATCAGCAGAAAAAGTGTATTACGTGCCTATTTTCTTTGTGTACACAATACTAGATTGATGCATATTGTTCTATAACAGCTTTCAAATTGCACTGATCAGCTGAAGAATTGTTCACAAGGGAAAACATTGTTATTATGGAAAATACAATTATTCAATCAGGTTGGAATTTTCTGCTTGCCGTTACAATTATTGAATAAATAAATAAAAGGATGTTGGATGTGCTTGAGCACAGAGCTTCGCTCTGCATTTATAATCATCATATTATTTACTCTTTATAATTTGAAAAGATCAAACTGTAGGTGGATGAACAGGGTGCTTCCAGTGAGATTACTCAAAGAAGAGCTAAACAGAATAAACATAAATCATGACTTTGAAAACGTCTCCGTGGACTAAAAGGTTAGTTAGATGTCTAATTATCTTTGACTGCAATCTTACCAAGTCCCAGTTCCCATGTAAGTATGTCATTATACAGTTCATTCATTAATGTATGTTTCATTACACCTCCGAGACTTTTGCTTTAGATTGATATTAAAAGTCAGGTGATTCAGTTGTTTTAGGCTGAATTAGCTTTTTGCTTTGTCATACAGTTCAACATCTATTCATCCATCCATCTGTCCATCCATCCGTCTGTCCGTCTGTCTGTCCATCTATCCATCCATCCATCCATCTGTCCTAGCTCAGAACAAGCTCACATGTAAATATAAATTCAGAATTATGCAATTTTAATGTAATTATATTATATTAAAATACACAAAAGTGGTGTTTACCTGAGTGGACGCAGTGTTCTGAGCAGCCGAAGAACCCGGAGCACTCCCAGGATCTTTGCCCCTCCCGCCATGGACACAACAATATCAATCAACGACACAAAAACCAGGAATCCATCCAGAACATTCCAGCTGCTCCGCAGATAAGTCTGTTCGCCTATATAGAAACCCATGGAAACAACCTGCAGATAGCCATAAAGCAATATGTTACAGCATGGACTTCACTTGCCATAGAATGGCAACTTGAATTTAATAGAAAGTTCAATGTTCTATGTTGTCTATTTCTTTTATTAAATTCAACTGTCAAATACAAAGAATACTGTTGGGAAACAAATAAAAAGTTTATATTGAAAAAGTAGGAAAAGAAAAAAGACAAGATGTAAACAAAACTGCCACCATCAGCAGTAAGGCAGCAGTCTCAGCAAAAATAGCGGTTTCCTTCATTTCCACATTTACACATCAGTCGAGAAAGTATTCAGAACAGACACTGACTACATTCAAAATGGTCAATTTTGTAGAAACAGAGATTAATTTTGACCAGATTGACAAAAGAGCCCCTTTCTATTATATGGAGATACTCAGAGCACTTTACACTACAATCTGTGTCCTCATTTACACATTCATACAGCTCTCTACTAGATCTATACAAAGACTAATCACTGCTTTATCACATTCATACACCAATGGGACACATATCGGAGGCAATGAAGGGTTTGGTGACTTGCCCAGGGACACTTTAACATGTGACTGCTGGTAGAATTGAACCCCCAACTCTTGCATTGGAAGACAACTGCTCTAACCACTCAGCCATCATCCAAACAAGACCAATGCCCAAGTGAATTTCTACCATCTTAAAATAAATCCAGCCTCAACCAATTCATAGTAGTTTATTCAAATTATGTTCTACAACCCTTTATGTTGCTGTCAACTACACACTAAATGGTTATTTACATAGATTTATACAGTTATTTTCAAGCAGCGGCAGCTGGTTGTAAAACTCCCAGTAAAACCTGGGTCGCTTCCAGCAAGAGTATCATATTTCTGTCAGGAAAGCACTACTGCAAAAGTAATGGTAATGGTGTAGAAAATACCATTTGCACGTACTGCTATGAAATGTGGTTTTAGAATTATTTTAAGGCGACATTGTTCCACTTTGAGCCTGCCACCTCTTAAAATAGCCGTTATCTCGTCAACTCCATCAGAACCAATCAGTATTTGTCCAAACTGATGTAATTGAAAGAGCTAATTACAATATTTTACCCTACTTTAAAGATCTGACCTCTCACACTAATACTGTACATCACAGCATGTTTTCTGCAGTAATTAAGGTGCCAAAGCCAGGGCCTTCATCCTTGGCTTGTATAAAAGAAAATAATGTGAAGACATTAACATTTTCCCATTAACTTATAGCTGGAAGGATGGATGTGTCGCCATTGTCGTCTCCATGCACACAGATGGATATTGTGTCGTGCAAAGCAGCAGTGGGAGCATGATGTCTGCTTAGGCAAAAATCTGTCTCTGACATTTGAAGCTGTTTGCCAAATGTTCAGTAAAGCTTAAAGGGACCACGAGGGGGTGAGCAAACCTCCAATTGGTTGAAAGATCATCGTTTGGCAAACATCTGAGCTCTGAACGCCAAAATGTTAACTGCCCTCAAAGATAAAAAGTGAACCGAGCGCGCAGCACGTTTTCCAAGTTCCCAAATAGGATTTTGCTTCCACAGCTTCTTGTATTATCAAAATATTTTGCAGAAAGCAAAAGAATTGTGCTGTATATCACGTTTTAGCCATTTTGGAACAACTGATTTCATCTTGCAAAAGAAATTCTGCGCTTGGAGATGCCTCAAAGAGCCGATCAGTTCTCCAACCCTACTGTGTTGTTTGTTTATTTTGGCTGCATCTTGTACACAACTCTAAACCCGGAGATAGAATCCTGTGGAGAAATTAACATTGCGCAGGCAATCACATCAACACATTATGAACATGCACAAGATTCAGACACACAGACAGAAGGGAATACGTGTACTTCTCGGCCAGGGGGCTGACAAGTCCGTGGCTCCTTGACGGACTGAGATTGGTTAATAATTTACTTTAGGAGTACATAATTGATGGCCCACTTATGCCAGAGCCTTTCCCAGAGAAAACAGACACAGGAAAGGAAGCAGGGAGTGGAGGGGAAGATAAAAGAGAGAAAGAATGGATCAACAAACAAATTGGGAGCTGGAAAAAGAAGTGGTGAGAACAGAGGCACCCTAAAGAAATTGACACACAGACTTAAAAAAGAAGAAAGAGAGACAGAGTGTTGGCAGAGTGCTGGACCACATCTCTAAATCTAGACTAGCCACTAATTAGTGACATTGCCTAATTACTCCATTTTCTAAGGAACTGAGAAAAAAAAAAGAAACAACAGGAAGAGGATGAGCTGTGAGAAGCAAAGTCAGTTCAGAGACGTATACAGTCTGGACAAGATAGGAGATTGACAAACAAACAAGAAAAGACATCTCGGAGTGGGGTCTTAATAGAGAGACAGTTTGTAAAAGGTTACCTTGAGTGTCATCTCGCCCACAAAAATGGCTGTAAAGATGTAGTTGGAGATGGTGAGAAAGACTCGTTCCTATATGAATAGAACAGAAATGAAGACAGGGCTGAGTGTCGGAAACACAAAATGTACCAGTAAGGACTTTAAAACCTTCTTTACTGCACCTTTTAGATAATAAGACTGAATATGGCCTCAGAGAATACTACTATGACACGAAAACTTACAGAAAGACAGGCAATTTAGGTGGATTTACCAGGCTGCCCTGCAGTATCTTGGGCCTCTCCAGAGCCACTGTGATGCAGTTGGAAAAGATGAAGACCAGAACCACATAGTCAAACAGCTTATGGGCTATGATGGACTGACACATCAGTCTGAACCTGGCAGGAGAGGAGGAAATGAAAAGAAATGCAAAAAGTTTGAATTTAGTAAACACAGTGTAACTGCGTTAAACCACCATTTTGTGTTGTATCCTAAGATATACTTTATTGTGTCCTATTGTATCATATCATATTGTGTCAGAGTTATACTGTATCATATCCCATCATAGTGTGAATGTTTATGTAGCATTCACACTATTGTGATCCATTTTTCTTCCATACGTTTTTCTGCATTTTTATTGTTCCACAAATTTTGTGCTATTTCAATAAATACATCAAAACGTTCAGCTCGTTCAGGAGAAGGGTGCTATGACTTTTGGTATTGGTGAAACTTTGGCTTTTTGAGCTATTTAGCCTTTCTGCTATTTTTTTCCTCAAGGAAAATAAATTGAGCTCATTTTACATCCTTCAAACCATTTACTGCTCCTTTCACATTTTGTTACAGTTCAGCTTCTTTCAGCTTCCTTGTGCAAATTTTAACATTTTTTTCAGCTACTTTAAGCTGTTTTGTCAGCTGTGCTCCTTTCAGATTTGTTTTCTGCTAACTATATTTTTGTGCTTCTTCTTACTTCTTTCTGCTAATTTCAGCTTTTTATGCTCCTTCCAACTTTTTCTGCAATTTCAGCTACCATTAATCAGTTTTTATGATAATCGTTAGCTTTTTCAGCTAATTCCACATTTTTTGCACTCATTTCAACTTTTTTTCAGCCTAAATCAGCAAAAATGTGGTCTCTCTACTCCCTTCTGATAATTTTAGCTTCCTTCTGCTTTTTAACTACGTTTCAGCTATTTTTGTGTGCTAATTTCAGCTTTTATGAAGCTAATTTTCTCAATTTTGTGCAAACCTAATTCAGCAATTATGTGCTCTTTCTCCTTTCTTCTGCTAATTTAGGCTTGTTCATCCATTTCAGTTACATTTCAGCAAGTTTTTAGCTAATTTCAGCTGCTTTTCAGCAAGCTCTTCTGCAATAAGCATTCACACTGCATTTTCATCGGAAATGCAAATTCTCTCATTTTGTATTGTGTTGTCTTGTATCATATCATATCATATCATATCATATCATATCATATCATATCATATCATATCATATCACGTTGTATCTTATTGTGTTGTATCCTATCTCATATTGTATCATATATATTTGTTATTGGTCTAAAAAAGAGGGCAATGGAGGGGCCCACTGTGCTTAAATATCATATGTTTATATTCTAAATAGGAACCAGCTCTAGTGGTTTTAAATGGAAGCTTCCTCACATCTAAAAAAATAATGTCACAGCATTTGCTTACATTTCTTCTAATTCAAATGAAATTAAACAAACAACGCTCTCAGAAGCCTCCAGTTTGCCATGCTCTGCTGGGAGAACAGACCACGGAAGAAACAAAGGAGGGAGGGCTGATGGCACAAAGTAATGGGACATCCAGAATAAATAACGAAAATGCATTAGAAAATAAAAAGAATTTGACAATGTTTACTGCCAAGAAGCAATTAATATTTTGACTCGAGTGTTTATTGGATTGGATGAAAAGAATAAAAAAAATCCACAGATGAATCAGAATCAACAAGAAGGGGATTTATTTTCATTATAAGTGAAACACGTTTAAATAGTTTTTAATAAATCACTCAACTGCATCTAATTAAAACTTCTAGATTTTGACACACCACTATATAGTAATGTGTAACTTGATGAACTGACTAAATTAGTCAAAATCAGCACCCTGAAGCCTATCTCTTGCTTTGTCACTGAAATAAAAACTTAAAAATTGTCTATATTTTGCGACGACAATCATTGCACTAATGAACTTCATTTTTGTGAAAGCTCACTAAACTTTCCCTTCTATTATTGAGGAAAGAGTTATTGACTTTTTAATATGGTGTTGATGAGATTCATTTTGAAAAAAAAAACCGAATGCTTCTAATGAATGTATAACTGTGTTGCTGTCAACTCTGCTCTTTGTTCATGGAAATGAACAATCCAGAAGTAAAAACTTACTTGCACCGGTTCACAGGGAGGGACCGAGTTGATAATCACAATTTAGATTTTTAGGACTAAACTGGGTAATTTAAAGTTAGTTTAAACTGATTGTTTTTTTCAACCAGATTTATCCACCAAAGCTAAAGACAGGACAAATCTCAACAATATAAAGCAAACGCATAAATAACTAATTATCTCTCAGATCGGCGACAATGTGTTCAACATAATAGTACTTCTTCCAGTTATTTAACGGTTCATAATGGTGTACCACAAGGCTCAGTCTTAGGACCCACCCTCTTCACAATCTACATAGGTAATGTAGGTCAGAGCATCCCTGATGCATCCTTACATTTTAATGCTGATGACACAGTTCATTGTTGAGCCAAAACTGTTTCTAAGGTTTTCCAGCTTTTGCAATCTGCTTTTGACATCATCCAGTCAGACAAAACAAAACCACAAAACCAAAGGGATGTTGTTTTCAAACAGGAAGTTAGTCCCAGCAGTTCTTCCTTCGATTTTATCCTCGAATGGTGCTCCTATTGAGTTAATCGATTACTACAATTATTTGGGTATTGGCCATTTTACATCTCTCTTTTAAACTCCACATGGAAAACTTTGTGAAGAAACTGAAAGATAAATTGGGTTTCTTTTTCAGAAATAGATCCTGTTTAACTCTGAATGCTAGGAATCCAGGAAATATCTTACAAAAACAATTGAAGCTCTCGACCTTTACCTCTCTAAGTGGCTTTAAGAATCTGTTGGACTCCTGGTAGGGACCAATGCAGACATGTTCATGTTTTTAGTTTTCTACATTCGCCTTAGAATCTAGCTGTTTTTTGTTATCTTTTTCTTTTAGCCACCCTATTTGTTAAAAAAAAAAAAGTAGTATGACTTTTATAACTGAGTATTGTTGTCGCTGTTGTCCATTGTTGTCATCATTCTTTGTTGAAATCAGGTCTCTCTTGTAAATGAGTCCTCGAGGCTCAATGGGATTTACCTGTCTAAATAAAGGTTGAATGAAGTCACCTTGCAACTGCGACTTTCCTTCCCTCCATTGACTACGGTGACATTATTTACATGAACACTCCTACAAACACATTTCCGATGTTGGACGCTCTCTATCATGGTGTGCTAAGATTCATAACTGGCTGTAACTACCGTATCCATCATTGAACCCTGTATTCACTGGTTAATTGGTCATCATTAATAATAATAAAAATAATAATGTCATCACTGTATGTTTCCATTCAATGGCAAAATTAGTCTCTGCATTTAACCCATCCACCACCAGGTGATGCAGTGGGCAGCTACTGAAAGCACCCGGGGGGCATTTTGGGGATGAGTTGTGCTGTCCAGAGACACCACACAGTATGCAGTGACTGGGGATCGAACCTGGGACTTTCGGGTCCCAAGCTGGCTGCCCTGCCTCTACACCACCTCGGCCCCCAAACCTGAAAAAAAAATCTTGATATGGATGTCTTTATTTTTCTGGCTTCAGTTGAATTATAAAAAAAATATGTACTTTTGTAAATACATACAAATAAATAAAAAAATAAAAAAAATAAATAAATATATATATATATATATATATAAATAAATAAATAAATAAATAAATA